CTCGTGCAAGGTCAAAAGCGGGAGCGGGTGTGTCAACTTTGTTTGCGTATACAGAAGCCCATCAACGTGTGTGGATGAGGACGCTGCCTTTCTTGATCTACTGAAAACCGTAGGCGAAGCAGCTGATAACATAATCATAATGGGGGACTTTAACGCAACAGGAGTAAACTGGCAGAACGAATGGTCTTCTCCAACATCCTTCGGGGGAAGCCTGATTGCGGAAGCGAGATCTAATCCAGCATCTACTGCAGCCCACGAGATGGAGAGCAGGATGCACAGCAGGACTGCTTGACTTAGTCACAACCAAGTACCAAAAGGATGAAGGAAACCTAGTACTGAGAGTGTCAATAGGACGCAGCGACCACGCAGTAATACGCTTTGATTTACCATCTACGCCAGACAACCCACCGGATAAGGCACGCAGGTCCTTTGAAAGAATGAACATTCAACGCCTGTTGCACAGTGCCGCACCTTAGGCTGGGGGGAGGCAGAAACACAATTGAGGAACTGTGGCGTTATAAAGGGCAACCTTACTGAACTTACGCAAGAATTTGCTCCACTGCGGAAAATCAGAAGGCAAGGAAGACCCCCGTGGTGGACGAGTGGAGTGGGCAAGGCCCAACATCGGGAACTTGCTGCATGGGCACGTCTCAGAGGAACAGGAGGCTTCTACAAAATAGACGGGTTACCGAAGCTGCGTTGAGGGTTCAGAGAGCATGTCAGATGAAATAAGAAAAGTGTCTCGCACTTAAGGCCAAAACCTGCCCAAAGGCGTACTACAACTACGTCCAGTCTAACGCTGCTCTGAGGTCACCAGTAGGTTGTGTAAGAGACGAAAACGGGCAGCATGCTGAAAGTTACACAGGGAAGGTGGAGACCCTGAAAAGGTTCTTTCAGAAGGTGCATCGGGCGGATGGAGAATCTACACTAGTCCTCCAAACTGCCCGGGTTCCGGTGATAGAGGAGCCACTCTTTCACCCGGGGGAGATAGAGGTGGTGCTGAGGATACTGCAAAGACACAAGTCTGCAGGGTCCGACGGTATCCACCCGGCTACTATGAAGCCGCTAACGATCGTCTTCAGTGACCCGTTTGTGAGACTATCCAGTCCGTCACTTAAGAGTGCAGCTGTGCCGGAAGATTGGAAAGTGGCTGAAGTAGTCCCCATACATAAGGGGGGCTGCACGGAGGAACCGACAAAATACAGACCGGNGAAGAGAGGGTAGCCCAGCACCTAGTATCTCACGATTTGCTATCGGGCAGGCAACATGGCTTTGTTAAGGGAAGTCGTGTTTGACTAACCTACTGGCATTTCTTGACGAGGTTACGGTCAGGCTAGATAGAGGACATGGAGTCGAAGTATGCTACCTTGACTTTCAGAAGGCATTCGACTCCGTCAACCATCGTCTTCTGGTGCGAAAAATACAAGCACTCACCTTTAGCCTCAGCATCGTTAGGTGGATCGATCAATATCTCCTTGGGAGAACCTTCCATGTTAAGGTGGATGGGGCTAGGTCGGGTAGAGCAGCAGCGAGTAGTGGCTTCCCCAGGGATTGGTATTAGAGCCGCTACTTTTCATCATCTATATCAACAACCTGCCCCAAGGACTGGTTGGGCTGTGTTTTGGTTTTGTTGATGATGTTAAGCTAATTGGAGACCCCACCTCAGCGCAAACGCAACAAGACTTAGATCGTCTGCATAAGTGGGCGATGGAATGAGAGCTACCACTGAACATAAATAAGTGCAGGAAGCTCCTATTCCAGGGAGGCCAGCCATCATCGACTAACAGGCTGCTGAACCTGGATTACCCTCAGGAAATAACCCAAACAGGGCAGATGAGGGATCTGGGAATGCTCATACACTAGACCTGCAAGCCACCCAAGCAGTGTCTTCTAGCGGCAACAAAGGCAAATAGAGCGCTTCATCAGTTACTGAGATCTGTCGCCTCCAGAGACAGTGTGGTCCTTCTCCCGCTCTACAAAGCGTTTGTGAGACCGCACTTAGAGTACTCTGTGCAAGCCTGGTCGTATTTCATGCTGAATTTTTTGAAAATCCTTCCTTACCCATAATGATTTATGGTGGAATAACTTTATCTGTGTGTTGCTCCTATATTGACATTTCTCCATCACAAACACCATACATCATTATTTATCTGTTAATTTGGATGCCCGGCACATTTGAATTTTGCGTGGTTTGAGAACGGGAGCGACTGTTTGATTCTCTCTGGACATCTTATTTGGCTCGGTTGTTTGAGTGCTTTTGGCCGCATATTTGAGGTTTGCTTTATTGTACATTTTGTAATGATTTCGTTAATTCAGTACCGTAGAACATTGCGGATCAAATGTGTTTTTACTTCGGGATTCGTATCGGTTCGGCTACGCGTCACTCAAGTGCGAATTGGTTGGTGTACACTGGTCCCCATCCCTCGTGAAGGGCTTGGTGATACTAGAGACGGTACAAAGGAGGTTCACAAGGTGGGATGGAAGGGTTGGACTACCACGGTAGACTAAGAGAACTTAATGTGTTCTCTTTCGTCAGAAGAAGATTAAAAGGAGACCATATAGAGGCTTTCAAGCAACCAAAGGGTCTATCCAGTGCAGGAACGCAGCTGCTATCCAGGAATAATAACCTCGCTGTGCGAGGAAACGGACTGAAGCTTGAAAACCGAGAGCAGAAAGGAGCATCCGGGCGAATTTCTTCGCTCATAGGGTTATAAACCCTTCGAACAAGTTACCAGCCTCTGTTGTTTCAGCAGCCTCAGCTGAGGAGCTTAAGGGTCGTCTAGATGCAATGTGGATGGAACTGTTTCCGGAAGCTGCATAATGGGCACCTTACAGAAACGAATAATGTAGGCATACGTGTAGGTTCGTGTGCATACACTTGTGTGTACTGGAAAGGACCTGAATGTCCCTGGTGAATAGATAG